TAATAAGACATGTTATCTCTTACTCCTCTCTTCGGTCTCCATCCGTGATCGTTCGTTATATTCCCAAACAAGTGACCGGAATCCCCGCATTACCCACCGATTCTGAGCAACGATGCCTAATACATAAATCCCAACCTCTACCATTTCTATGTAACTAATGTACATTCATTCCCGTGTCCGCTGCCGCTGCAACGCGCATTAGATCTATATTAGGTAGGTATCTAGTAGATTGATCCTCTTTATCTCCAACGATATATCGTAGACAGTGCGCATTCCTCTCCATCAATATAAGTTACTCGTACATATGTAAGAGTCCCCTCAATAGATTAACTTTTCCTCGGCAATTTGACATCGGCGTCGTGAAGCCTGTTTCACATCGGAGATATAAACGGAGAGAAAGGTTAAACCAAATAAGATAAATGTCACACAGCATGGCTCGGCGCAGTGCAAAACGAAGATGGATGTACAACGTGTATATCAGGTAGGTACCTATGTAGGTAGGTATGAATATAAATACTAACACATCGCACCCCGGAATGATGCTGATGCTACTGCGGAATTGCAACTTCATCCGCAACCAAACATTCCGGTGGTCCATGACGGGATCTCTGTATCTCTACTACATTGTTTACCGCCTCTTGTTTTTTACTCCATTCCATTAATGATTTGCTATGAGAATCCTAACCTATGAGTCAGCTCATGCAGCATAATGCGGATGAATGAAATGGGCATTCTTACCCACCAGCACTTGATGATAACCGTTCCAGTTACTATATAAATGATGAAGGCCCGCGAGTGTCTACCTACAGGTAGATGATCCAGCTATCTCAGCTATTGAAGTCCGTGTTCAAATCTTACCAACTCTTAGGGGGAAGAAACATGCAACCAACAAGGGGAGGATCCTTTATCACAAGGGATATATATAACTGCTGCGTGTTAGGGAACGAAGCGAATTGTAAACGATGCCTTACTTGGATTTCTAAGCAGGAGGCGCGATCTACGGTGTGAGGCAAGGTACTTATCTATAGTCCTCTACCATTCACCTTAAAGCCTTTATCAATGCATCCACCTCTATGCCCACATGAGATACACCCACCCATGAGCATTGAATTATTTAATGATAAGCCTCATCCTTATGACTTAGTAACAGTGCAGCACTCCTCTTAATCATAGGAAATACATCGAGGTAATAATTTAGTAAAGCTAGGTAGTTAGAACATATACATAATATCAACGGCGACATGGTCCGTATACTGCCTGCCGCCTCTTAACTCTATAGTAGGCAGGTCTGGAATGTTTATAAGTTCTATAAAAAGGAAACTATGAAAAAGACGAATATCATAGCACTAGTTGTATAGATAATCGATAAGACAAACCCAACCAGCCTAACCCCTGATAAATCGTCAGTGCCGAGCCCCGAAACGTTGACGTGGGCTGTTTCTTCTCCCCCACGTCTATTGATCCCTGCAACACCAATTGAACAGCGGCACCGCAATGAGCAAGTGCAGGGGTACGACTTCATGTTTAATCGAATTGAATTTTCAATCCTCAACCTAGCGCAACCTTAAACCTTCAAAGACTTTAGTCCTCTTCGATCTGATCGGTCGAATTCTATCCCTTCGTTAATTGGTACGTTGGTATCTATTCGTCGCGCCCGGTCTTTATATCGAATCAGGTCTTAGAGTAAGTCTCTAACCTAGATTGCAATCATTACACTATACCTATTCTCCCTTGATTCGCGACTCTACGATTGCAATCGCACATCCCGATACCCTCTCATCAGCCCGCGGCTATATCACGTCTGCGCGCCCGCGCATAACCAAATGGCGTCCATCGTAGAGACCCAACCCCCGAGCGCCAATGGTGCCGCGACCGGAATCGTGCACAAGAACCTGTCGCAAGCTACACTACGCCCGAATCCTCCTCCCTCACCTCCCACAACCGAGATGGATGCCGAGACAGATTCAAATGCATCCAGTGCGCCCCAGCCCGAGCCTTCAACGGATATACCGTCGCCAGATAGCCGAGCAGAGGAAGATGCGCCTGTGATCTCGCCCGTAACGTCCCCGCCATACTGGATAAACACCCACTCCTCCCACCACACAGACCACACAAGGATCCCGTCTTCCCCGTCCGTCGAATCCCTCCCGACCGGCGGCATCACGCTCCGCGACAACGAAAGCAACAGTCTCGACGATCGGGGCAACGCGTGCTGGGCCAGAAGCGTCGAGATAACAGACTATGTCATTGTGAACGGCAGCGCGACCAACATAGGCGCATTTGTGGTGTGGAATATCAGAGTCGAGACGCTGAGCGTGAGTTTCCGCAAAAGAAGAAAGATAAAAGCACGAGCAATGATGGGGCAGCGGGGCTAATATTTCGGAACGGATTGCAGGGAAGCTACATGAACATACGAAAGCGATATTCAGAGTTCGACGACTTCCGATGGCGACTAGTGCGCACGTTCCCGAACTTCGAGGCGGCGGTGCCTGAGCTACCCCCCAAGAGCATGATATCAAAGTTCAGGCCTAGATTTTTAGAAAGACGGCGCGCGGGTCTGCAGTATTTCCTAAAGTAGGACATTCCCATTACCGACAATTACTGAGGAAATGAGTGCTGACATTACGATAGTTGTATACTATTGAATCCGGAGTTTTCCGGGTCGCCCGTCTTGAAGGAGTTCCTCTTCTCATGACCCGCAGCTTGGTAGTTAGCTGGTCAGACTTTCGGTATTTAGCGGTAGTGCCGCACGATCTCGACGCACGTTACGAAGTAATGCCAATTCTGTACGAACACAATCGCTTGGATACCCGGGACGATAAGGAGGGAAGGTTGGGATCCGGTCGGCTCAAGGGCGCCGGCAGTGTGTCACTATCTTATTCAAAGTATATATTGGAAACCTAGTATTTATCTTCTAAGTTCAATTTTCTTCCAATATTGTCCTCCGATCAGAACAGGAACTGGTTCCACGTAAATTTTGCCGGATAGGAACAAACCCCTGCTCTAGGCCAACACCATTCTATGCTATAGCCATACCGTGGATCCAATGCTTGGGAGAAGAAAAAAAGCCTACCAACAACAACATACAGGAGACTTTTATATAGACCGGCAGTGTGAATGCCCGACCACAAACGCCCAGTCTATGACCGTAGTTTCCCTGGTCCTTTTTCAATCCCAAGAGACATTACAAGCCCTCGGCTCCAAAGTTATATAGTCCTACGGTACTGCTACCATTACGTCCATCGTTACCGCCGACAATCCCAAGTTCAAAGCTCCCCCAAGCAAAAGGGAAGCTAACGAAACTGGTCGCAAGCTCGCTCACTTCTGGCTGTTGATCATGCTAAGGTAGCAGTTCCAGCCGATGCTGACGAGGTTGACGACGAGGACGCGGTGCTCGAGGGGCACGAAGGTGAAGTTGGCCATCTGGACGAACGGCCAGATGAGGTAGTTTGTCTGGAGCGCGGGCGCGTAGCTCTTGGCTAGCTTCTCCTTGGGCGATCCGCCCTCCATGACCGCCATGCTCGACAGGAATATCCCGATGAAGGTCGGCGCGAATATCAGCTGGTCCGCGGCTACGCGCGCGACCATCTCGACCTTCTTGTTGCGCAGCTGGATCGAGCGCTGCAGGATCCCGTACCAGGTTGTGGCTGCGGGGCCGAAGACGGCTAGAGAGGATGTTAGCGTCTTCCTTTTTTTTTTTTTTTTTTTGTCCGTCATGTCATTTCATTTTAATTTTAAGCTTTTTTCCTTGCTTTGCTAGTGTGCCTTTTTTTTCGCTGCGGAAATATGGCCGTTGTGGGGGGGAGCATTAAAAAAGGGGCATGTGAGGGAATTGGGAGCGGTCAGTTGGGGGTGATGTGGGGTAAAAGATGTGTTGGTAAAGAATTGATGTGTGAGGTAAGATATATGGTGATATCAATGTTGAGGAAATTTTGGTGTATCTTTGGGGGAGGAATATAAGCGTATTTTGGCACGGATAGATTGTGAATAGAAACATACCGCCACCATAGAGGAACATGCGGCCAGTTCGGGCAACCTCGTGTTTCTCAAGACCCTTCTTTTCGACGACCTGCTGCGCTGTGATATCGCCGACGGCGAATAGCACAGCGGTAGTGACGCTCTGCGTCAATAACGGCCGCGAGGCGAGCTTTCGTTGGTACCTGATGACATCTCGATCAGCAACTGCTCAATACATCGTAGATATATTCCGGCTCAGCGGAATGGCGTTTTATATATATCGGTATATATATATATGTCGAGGTGACATTCCTCCTACGTACCAGCGAAGCATGGTTGCGTTATGGTGCCGTTATTGAAGGGCCGATATGGAATTGGAGGTTTTGAAGTGGTGGTTTGTTGCAAGTTTTTAATTTGTGGACTTGCTGGGACCCCCTAAACTTTAAAAATCTTGTATGTAAACCCGCTCGCCCCAAAGTACCGGTTTTCTCGTTAGCTGCATACGCTCTCCCAATGGGATGGGTCCCTCGTCGCACAGGATCGGGAATTCGAACAATTGCCTTAACGAGATACATTAGGTAGCTGTGAGGCTCTCAGCCTGGTACCTGGTACGTACCTCTTCAAACTTCGAGAGTGAACAGTCTCGAGGTATGTAAACCTAATAATGTGGGCCTCGGAGTGGCTGCATATTCATTTTTCTCCATTTTCAGCTGCTGTCGTAGGAGGTAGTAATGTAGGTAATATCGTATTAGTTTAGTGCCAAAATATAATTCATGAGCCACTCGCTTAATTTAGTCGGAGCCGATAAACGACGATTGATCTTTGAGTAAAGTCGAAAGAGAAAAGAAAAAAAAGAAAAAAAAAGAAAAAAGTACAGATATCGAGGGGGCACCCATGAGGCTACAAACTATATAAATATTAAAGGGGTTAAAAAAGAAAGAAAAAATTATGTTGCTTTTCCCAGTATATAGGGAAGCATCAGGAATTGAGCCCGATGCGGGGGTCGAACCTTTGAGGCGATGTTAGTATATAATGGTGAGGAACCCCGGATGAGCAAAGAATAACTTACCCGCAACCTTGAGATTAAGAGTCTCACGCTCTACCGATTGAGCTAACCGGGCGTCTTGTGGTGGAAATTTACTTTGTTACGTTGGTAAATATTGTTTGTGCGTGGAGTTCGACTGGGCTGGACTTTGGTGGGCGACGGGAGTGGGAAAGGCTGTATTAGTTGACGGTCTGAGGAAGAGATATTTTTTGTTTTCATATTTGTCGTAGTATTGTCGTAGTGAGCTCATTATCTTCTTTCTTCCTTAAAAGAGGTCATACCATAGTCGCGTCCCTATGATTCACATCACAAATTCATACCATACCCCTTAGCATTAGTTATAATTCCCTTAAAATCGGGATATATAATATTAGAGCCACAATCTCAAAAGCCCCAAGCCGCATGTTGAGCAATCTGGGAATGGCACCCTAATGTGACATAATATCCGAGATGCGTATACGGAGGAAAGACTGATGATAGTCTTTCCATCTGTTCCCACCAACAGTTAAGAAACTCGAAGGCGGTCCAAGCTAAGAGGTCCGACAACACGAGATAGCCAAAGACTATTGGCTCATACAATCTTAGATCGCCTCAGTGTCGTAACCCCCCCTAAGAAGTTCCAACTTTGGCCGTGGGGCGAACGCTTGAGCCGCCCCTATAAGGTTTCGTGGGGAGCAAATCTGGCCCCAATAAGTCAAGACTGCCTTCTCGTCAAAGCTTGCGGGGATTCAGTACATGTTTCTTTAGATCTTGTCGCTCTATATTTGCTTTGTGCATAGGTAGCTATAAATGTCTACCAACGCTTTGTGTGGTGGGGTAGTCTGTATATATCTCTAACTGATGCTTGAACAGAGATGAAAATATCATCACAAGCAATATATAAGGCTGTAAGGCATCAATCAGTACATGGTGGTGGTCTAGGTTTGGCATTCTGCTCTATCAAAACTTCTCACCGTTGCGGAACGTCGGGCAGTCTAGCACTACGTCTGAAACACTCTGCTGCCGCACGGGATAAAATATATGGGCTATAGTGAATATAAAGTTGAGGTTGAGCGTATGCGTGTGAGCTTGGGCGTAAAGGTTGGAGCTTTAAGGTATCCGATCACCTTTTACAAAGGTATATTTACAGCACCCTCTAGACTGCCCCCTTGGTTTTTTCTTGCAGATCGTTCTCCTCCTCAAGGGTCATATGCATGGTTCTGGCTGGTTGGATCGAATTACTATCTCAATACCACGTTAACTGCCTTACATTTTTCAAATCAACATCATGCCAATGGGAGAATCCAGGATGGCCAAGAAATGGGAGAATCCCTTCAAGATTTTCAGGTTTTTACGCAGCAAGTGGCACTATGCTGCGATTAACCCCGAGGGTATATATGACGATAAGAAGGACGAGATGGCTTTATCCTCAGGTTACATGGACTTCCCTTTCGAGTTCGAGAGCTGTCGGGGCTGGGCTGGTAATTTTCCTTGCGTCTTCGGGCCTACCGAGGGATGCTCTTGCCACAACCCACACAAACTACCAATCGCGTATAACGAATGCATCCCATCCAACAAGAAGCCTCTGCGCTTTACCCTGCGGCTCACCGGGTCGCCCGAGCAAGATGTAGTAGGATATGATAAACTTCGGGACGGAGAACGGATATGGTCGTTATTACATCTAGATCATTCAACTGCTGATCCGCTTGATCCTATTCACCCTTCTATCCGCTATGCTCTGGCGTACTATCATATCCACTGGGTCCAGAGCGCGGTATCAGTCGAGACACAAAACGCAAGAACTAAGGCCTTAACGTGCCACGGAACCGTGGCCAGGGACGGGAACGCGCGACCGGAGTTTCGGTATTGGGCCCAACCTTACTGGTACAAGGACTCCTTTTATACTCAGCAAGCGATCCGATTTACGATCGAACCGAAGAAACGGAAGTTTCTGTTCGGATACGAATATTGCATACTGGGATATTCTCCGAAGGACTGGACGTTCAGGACTTGCCCGCACTACCGGCAGCGCTTTCAACAATATGAGTTTCGAGAGACGCGAGGACTTATAAAAGCGGGTATGTCATATGTATCGAAGTGGCACGACCCTTCAGGAGACTCGGTCAGGAAATGGACCAAGTGGCACAGCATATATGGGCCTAGCTACCATATTCTCAACTGTCAGTTTTGTTGCACTGATACTTGCGTGGACATCGACCTAGTTAAGGACAAGATCGTGGTCCATATATGGGTATGGAAAGATCTCGGAAAGGGGCTCAGCCCATTTGATCCGAAGTGGATCTCGGCCCTTCGCCCCGAGGCATCTGTTTGGAGCCGGTCGCGGACTGAGGCGGCTGGCAATAAAGTGCGGAGCGCAGTTCGTGCAGCAATACTTGAGGAATCTAGGTAGCTGATCTGAGCTATCTAATTATGTTATGAATTATATAAAGCTTTACCAATGGTTCTATCGTATGGATTGGAACGGGAGGGTTTAAGGCGGTCTTTGCTTCGGTTTGGATAATATGGAATAATGTAAAGGATCGGGTATCTTTAAGATCAGAAGACAAGATTGACCACCGTTACAAATAATTATGATTATAAAGCATAGTAGCTTGTATGATGATACCCACAACTAGGGACGGAAGGAATGAAGAGCTTCCTTCTCATTCTTCAAAAGCTTTTAATAAATAAGCTGTGTTTCAAAATTCGAAAAGGAGAAGAAAAAAACAAGGTACGTGTTGGTTACGTACTAAACTTCAGAGTAATTAGGTACCTACTGACTCCTTCCGTCAAGCCTTCCTCGTCTGCGGGTACCTACATTCGGCATTGTAACAGTTCGCCGTAGCAGTTGGGCAAGACTCTAATTTATTCTCACCTGACATTTGAAAATTCTTGCCGATTGAATGCCGTTATGAGATAAGAAAAAAAAACAATCGGCGTTTAGCAGAGATAGGGACTGTTGGGCGCCTAGGCTTATTATATGCCATAACGTTGCAATGGAGAGGAGATTTTATTAATCTGGAAGCTTAAAAGGTGGTACTTCGGACACATGGATGTAGACGGAGGGGTTAATCAGAGAGCGGGCGCGGGGGACGAGAATTCAGGGTCCGTCACATCGGGTAGGAGATTGTTGTACTGTAATATGCAACATGTAACCTTATGCATATACAGCAATACACTATGTGGATGCCATGTCTCTACCCAGGTACCTAATGCACGGTTGGCTCGATTCATCTCAGGCGGTGCAAAGGAATGAATGCATGCGTATTTTGCTGGATATTGTCATCCAGCGGATGTCAGCTTTCTTGGTCATGGGTAGTGTGAGTTTTTGCGGCTGAAAGTCTTCTTCCCCGATCTCTCTCGGCCGAAGTAAGCATAGAAGCTCGTAGGGTTTATGTAGGAGAAGGCGAGATGAGGCGAAAAGATGAGAGAGGCGCTGGGTGGACTTATCTACATATATCACATATATCGGTATGTACCTACCTACACTATGTACATGCACATTTATTGATGGTTGAATGCTTACGTACATACATATGTACATACCTAGGTTAGGTAAGTGTACATAGTATATTGGCTCGTCTACCAAGGTATCTAACCAACCTGAATACATGTAACCATCCAAAGTACGAGGTTTTCAAGTGACTACACTACGGACAGTCACGACAACTTCAGATGGGACAAGACGTTCGCAGATCGAATGGATGCGATATATCATACATTGTATGCCTAGTTTTAACCTGTCATATGCGTAGGTATGTACATACCGTCTACAATCACGATAGATATAATTCACTGCAGAATAGTGGGTAGATATTAGGTACCTTTCATCGAGAAGGTAACACTTGGGCCAATGGAGAATCCTTGTAGACGTCGCCCTTCTGGACCGCCAGCCCCCTGCAACAACGCATGCACAAGTTAGCATTTGATTGGTTGCTTCCTTTTTTATTTTTCTTGTGAACCTGTGGGAAAAGGTACTAGCGCACAGTCCTAATTAGGACTCGGCTATCGTACCTTGTGTTCCTATTTCCTTCCAGCCCATCCCAGCGCCCATCCTACCTGCTATGTATACTACCTAGTATACAACCTATGTAGGTAGGTAGGTAGTACATACCTAATGCACCTACCGGCTTACACACCCACCCAATATCGCCCCAACTAGGTAGTACCTGCAAGACCTGCGAGACCTGCAAGACCTGCAAGACCTGAAATACCCTGCGACACATGTAAATATCCCTACTCCCGTAACAATCGCAGGATCGTATCTCGGGGACAGCCACCTTGGACACCTTTTCCCTCCCTCCCGAAGTTGACTTGGAAACCTTTATCCGTCTTTTACCTCAAGGTTCAACATTTGACATTACACAAATTTTAAGCATTTACAATTATTTGGTCTTCCTCACTTCTGCCCTTGACAGTCGGCGACATAGACTTGAGTTGATACCATCTCTGGGGCACGGATTCCCCTCGTTCTTCCCACTTGCCTTGGGCTCCTCGTCTCTAAGGCCTCTAGAGTCTCTCCACACCACACCACCTCACACATACATATACACATACATACATACATACATACACACACACACACACACATAACTTCTACTCGCCCAACTAACTACCTAAATCTATCTTTTTTTTTTCTACAAGGTACGTATGTTATTGAACCCCCTTAAGCGGCATATCAAAACGTCAATATTGCTGTCTATTCCGCTGTTTTCTGTTCCGAAACTTACCATTAGTAGCGTCGGAGTCGGCAGGAATTCGGTTCAATCGTCCCTCTTCTTAAGCTTCCTCTATTACGTTCAACTACATTCTATCCGGCGCCTTGTCTCCGGCATTACTACCTGACAAGCAAATTATAACGAGCAGATCAACTCGTCCCGAATCTCTACCATTTCAATATCCCAGCTCGACTCCGCCAACATGAAGGGCCGCCCAGTCGACCAACTCGTTTATGAGTTCATGTTCCAAAAGCCTCGAACCAGCGACCCCCAGAACTTCCATACTCTCCTTCACCGCAACCTTATCCCGGAGGTCCGCCAGGAAGTCCATTCTTTCTATGGACATCTTGATACTCAAGAAGCCAAGTACCCTGGACTA